CGCATCTGCCGGAGACGGCGATACCCTGAGGTGGAAAAAGATGGGAAAGTTCAGGAGCACAAAAATAGAGGTAATGTGGGTAAAACAATCATTAATAATGGGAATAATACACTAGATCAATGGGAATTTTCAAGCATCATAATATAGGATTTTATATACCAGCATCATGTCAATGGGAATTTCAGGATCTAACAGATGAAGGCACGTTAGTACCATATGTTTGGCCGGCCATTGACAATGTGGGTAAAACAATCATGGGAATGGTATTGGAACAATTTTACCACATTTCTATGGGTGGTAATCCAACCATCAATCAAAATATGAATAGTATCACTATTAATTCACTATTAATGTGGGTAAAACAATGTCATAAACCACCATATGACTGGGAATGATTAGTGGATGTTAGTAGGCACCTATATTATTATGGTGATTTGGGGATGGTTTATTATCGTTTTACCCATATTACTATACCATATAAAGCCGTTTTTTTTGGGGCATATCCCCTTGCATAGTCCTTAGGCCTGATATATGGTAGGCAGCTCCAATTTTTTGGTTCCTGAGATGGGCCATTGAACAGAGATCTCATAAGTAGCCTGGATTCTGGATGTTAGGTGCTGAGTCTGGATCCTGGATGCTTGATTATCTTTAGCCTTGATTCGGTCATTATTTTGGATATGCCAAACCTTCAACTAGATGTATGGAACATAATAAATTGCTGATTGAGTTGAACAAATATGACCATAAAGTAGTATAAGACACTGCATCCACCTGCGTTTTTCCGATGATATAAAATTAATAAATCAAAATCCAGGGAAGGTTTCATCTTGGTGAACATCCCACATACTCCACACTTTTAGTATCTTCTAGTGGTTGAAATCCACATCTATTGATGGTATTTGGTGGTTGCATCGGTTTGTCCAATGATAATTTATCCAGAATTGATGGCAATTTTTTGCGGGAAAATTATGATCAATCAAATTATAACCATTTAAAAGGGAACCTTGTGATTAACCTCTGGGTTTGGGGGTACACGATTTTCAGACAATCCCATACACTCATGATATTGTTGGTTTCCCAACATTTTCAGAACAACTGAGGTAAGCTGGTTTATAACTAGTTACTAGTCTGACTAGATTACCCATGTTTTGGTCGGTTTACCCTATAGTACATTCGCATAGAAGTCTGGTGTTTAATCCACCATGAAAATAGATCATTTTCCTGTGTTTCCCCAAATTTCAGGAACCGATTGATTGGAGGTACCTACCATATATTTGTTGGCCTATTTTTGAGGCCTTAATTTCAGGGACTATCCCCACAAAATGGTTGGTTTATGAATGGAAAAATCCAAATCTAAAATGGATGATAATCTCCATCTTCCTGTGTTTCCCCATATATTTTCCGCATTTTAATGGAAAATCACGATTTTGAATAGGTAAACCATCTATTTCGATTAGGGCCATTGCGACATTGTTCTACTGGGTTTACCCTCGGTTCCCGGGATCGTTCACTACGCTTTTGTAGTGGGGTTAGGAACCAGCCAGGCAGGTTCGTTCCGGCAGTGGTCATGACTCGCCTTTGTTGCGGTTCTTGGTGGTCAATAAACCCTTTCCACAATACTCTGGTGGTGACTGGAACATACTGAAACCATGGAATTTTATGACTTTCCATATACTGGGAATGGTATAGTCCTTTAAAGAGGAATCATCCAACTACTGGTTGGTGGTGACTGGAAATGTGGATTAACTATGGTTTATGGTAGATATAACTATATATAACTATAGTTAATCGGGATTGTAATGGTTTATAAACCAACAAACACTGGTTGGTGGTGACTGGAACCATGGAATTTTATGACTTTCCATTCAGTTGGGAAGAATCATCATCCCAACTGACGAACTCCATCATTTTTCAGAGGGGTTCAAACCACTTTCCACAATACTGGTCGATTAAGAAAGGGATTCCCAGTTCATGGAGTATGAACATCCCCAGTATACTGTAATATTGGTGAGTGCCCTCAAACTAATCATTAAGCAACCATCATTTATCAATTATATCCGGTTCAGGTTTTAAAACATGTTAAGGCCCCCCAGTTACAGATCATCCTGCCCATATTTTCCCATAAGTTGTTGATGAGTTTCCCATGAATTTCCATGAATTTCCCACATGTTTCCACCTTTGCTGCTGGGTACCCAGCAGCACATCTGCAGAGGCTTCTCCCAGACGGATCGCTTCTGCGCATCCTGGCGGCAGTTTCATCAGAGTTTTTTTTTGGGAGTTCCGCAGCCAAAAAACAGGGAGATTTAGTTCGAAAAACCTGGGTATTGATATGATTTGATTGGACTTATATATGTAATTGGATTTAATAGGATTATCGAATCAACCACAATTGGGCTCTTACCACCAAAAACACAAGGCTGACAAAGCTAAAGTTGGAAAAACAGCCCACTAAAACTGTGAACAGAAGGCTACGGAAAGCGAGGCGACTTAGCCCACTTATGATGATCAAGATCTTAAGATATCAAGGATCTGGTCAATGGTTTCTATCTTGAAAGTCCGGATGAACCCCAGAAACATTTTTGGGTTGACGCCGCGTCAAAACTGATGGCCATCCTCCTGGGATGCATCCTGGGATACTTCGAATGTTTTCTGTGAGTAAAATCACACATGAAGAGCTGATACCCGGCCTGGTAATTTGTTACATATAGCCATGGAAAATGGCCTATTTATATCTATTTATAGATGGTTTACCTATGAAAAATGCATGGTGATTTGCCATAGTTATGTTAATTTACCAGAGGGTAACAGGTATTTGAAAGATTTAGGAAGTAATTCTATCTCACATGGCATTTTTCAATGGTGTTCTTTGCTCCCAACTGCTACACTTTTTCGGTCGGAAAAATGATGAACCGATGGCAGGCACTGATTTGGTGGGTCTCTTTGGGCGCGGCGCGCTGTTGGACGCGCCGCCGGTCTGGCTTCCGAAGGCCGGCGTAATGGCTTAGTCAGCTCGATGTACAGTTCACTTGGTGAAACTTTTTTGGGATTCGGGGGGATATAAGATGATATTTCCTGATCATCAATTGTATTCATGGGGGTTGATATCACATGATAATCCCATCCCCCTAATATGAAAAACCCATGACACGAAACCATGGTTTTTTTTGTTGGGAAATTCCACATTCCATTGGAACCATGCAATTGTTGGGTGTTTTATATTAGGGGGATGGGATTATTTCCTGATCATCACGGAGATCTGGGGTCATTTATAACTATTATATACTATTATAGTGGGTTTAGAATGGTTTATTATAGTGGGTTTATAACTATTATATACTATTACATACTATTATATACTATTATATACCATTATAATATTATATAACGGAGATATGGGTTTAGAACGGTTTATAAAGCGTTAAACGAATCACCTTTGGGCGCCTTTTTTTTTATCTTTGGGAAGTGTCTTAAACAGTTACTTTTCTATCAAGATAAGTCATCCGGAGGGGAGGGCAACATGCCAAGCGGGGAAATCCATGGAAATCCATGGAAATCCCCTATGATCTTTGAGTCCAGCCTTTAAAATAGGAAACTCATTCGATGAATTTGGGCGACTTTCCAGCTAGCCATGTTTGATTTCCGGAAGGTGTTCACCAATATTCCATGAATATTCCATATTAGTATATCATGATATATCATTATATATATATATATCATTTATATCCCATTTATATCCCATCAACATCCCATTGCTTGATGACACGCTAGCGGCTAGTGATTCGAATCTTCCCAGAGCACGAATCCAGGCCGTCACCTGTGCCTTGAGCGCGCGTTGGCCAGAGGTGCAACGCATGGCCGCGGCCTTGGTGCGATGCGTGTGGCTGCATTTTTGGATATTTGGGTATGGATCAATACCTATTAATACCATTTTTAGTGGGATGAACATCCATTTACCAGCTATTTTGGGGTTCACTAGGTACCAGGGTTTTGACTCATACCCAAATATGAGCCATTCAATCTGGGTAAATTTGATCACGACCTCACTGATCTCCCTCACTGATCTCCCTCACTGGAATCCTGGTTTTTATATGGGGAATCATCCCCAAATGGCCGCAAGATTCAGGTTGGTGAATTATTATAATTTACCCAGATTCAATCAATGGGAATTTCAGGATCCAACAGATGGAGGTACGTTAGTACCATATGAGGCCATATTTTGTGGTGATATTCACTTACATAGGCCTCAAAAATAGGCCAAAAATATATGGTAGGTACCTCCATTTTAGGATCCTGAATTTCCCATTGAAATATGAGCCATTCAAAAAAAACCCTTGTTGATTGATTACCACAATGGGGATTATTATGTCACCAAGGGATTACTACAGGGTTATTTGAATGGGGATCTTTTTGATTAATAATCCCCATTTTTTGATTACTACAGGGAGTTATACACTATTTGGGGGATTCTTATGTCACCAAGAAACATGGGGATATTCATCGGAATGTTGCAACGTGCAAAGTGTATGCTGTACTTTAACACATATTAATATATATATATACACTACAGAAACCAGGTCCCAAAAACTGATATAGTTGGACCAGTAGTTTTTTGTTTGAAGGGCTACCCTGCCCAGATTCTTCTCCAACTTGCTTCTTCGAACCCAGACATTTTTACGCCCGGCTTGTTGCATATCCGGGTAGCATCAGGGTTGTCTGACAGTCTGACATTTCAAGGCTCCTAGGTTAAAAGTTAAGTCTCTTCGTTTTTTTATCACCTCATTTACCCTCTGGTAATTTGTTCATAGCTATTGAACATGGTCATTTATAGTGGACTTACCAATTAAACATGGTGATTTTCCATAGTTATGTTAGTTTACCAAAGGCTATACCATCATATATCCCATTAAATCCCATAAAATCCCATAAAATCCCATTAAATCCCATTAAATCTCCCCAATAAATGGTGATTCTGTTCCTGCGGCGATGTTGGCCCAAACGGCAGCAATTCAGCACGCGTTCACGGCTTGTGCAGCCACCGAGACTTGGCGAAAGAAACGGAGGAGGCGCTCTCCGGCTTTTCAAAAAGAGCGGGATGGAACGAGAAATCGTGAAATTTATGATATATACATGATATACATGATATATATATAATATGTATATGTATATATATAATATAATATAATATAATATAATATAATATATAATATAATATATAATATATTATAATATATTATAATATATATATACATACACATATGGCATGATATTGACATAGATTAATTGAACTCTATCAAAGACAAATGACTCATGTGGTAAGTACTTCTCATTGTAAATCGAAGTTCCAGGTATTTGCACATATAGACTCTTTTTCGTACACTTTGAATTAGCTTGACTAAGGGAGAACAATTAGCGACTGCGGTTTCGGGAGTACACCATTTTTCCATCATCTCCAGAAGGGGAAGCCCTTTGAAATCGGGTGCCCGCGGAAAGCGAAAAAATGGAGCAGAAACACCAACTAACAGTATATTAACCATTACTAACAGTATATTAACCATATTATTAACCATTGAAAACAGTATATTAACCATATCATTGACCATTAATAACAGTATATTAACCACATGATTAACCATTATCCGCAGTTCTCAAATGGGGTTGTTGGAGTTGGAGCTTTGGAGCCAAAAAAAAGCGAAGCGTTGAATGATAGCTGTTGAAAATGGACCATTGAAATAGTTGATTTACCCATTAAAAATTGTGATTTTCCATAGTTATGTTAGTTTACCAGAGGGTAATATTTGGGGACCCCTGGGGCGCCTGAACCACTCCTTGTGAGTTTTTGTGTGTATTGTACGCATGGATTGGTATTAACATGTATGAACACACATTGAAACCAGAGGATCATGACTTGTATGAATGATCCTTTGTAAGGTAATCTAATAGCAGACAGATCCAACATTTCAAGTGAACATGTCATCGGGTTTATCCAAGCAGCATTGGCCACTTGTGCTTGATCCAACTGTAAGTCTGGTGTCATAACCAACTTGTAGCTAGTCACACAATGTCACATATATATATATATATTATAATGATGTGAGAAATAATTAACCCCAACTATATACGGATATACGGTTTGTTGATTTTCTTGGGAATTAGATTAAGAGGGTATGAACGGGCTCTGCTGGCTTGTTACTGGCTAACTTGAGGATCCAAGTGTGAAAACCATAGGACACCTGTCTGCGGGCCTTCTATGTGGACCCTTTATTCACTTGTAGATGAATGCCATCAGATGCTGTGCGTCATCAATATACAACTTGCATCAATTTGTTTACCCTCTGGTTATTTAACATAGCCATGGAAAATGGCCCATTTATAGTTGGTTCACCTATTAAAAATGGTGATTTTCCATGGCTATGTTAAATAACCAGATGGAAAATGTGCTTGTTGCTTTCTTACTCTAAGTTAGTCGTCTACAGAATTCTACATACGTGTGGCCGGATGGAGATTTTTTGTCGTATGGCGGAGGATGGGAGCAAAGCAATCGGCTATGGCGAAAGTATCTCGGTGACCAATCCACGACGCGTTTTTTTTTTGGAGTCCGGCAGCTCCATAGATGGACCATTCGGAAAACCGATAGGAATGATGGGGTACGTATATCAGTATATCCCATATGCTCACCATGGTGCTGGTATAATTGGTATATATAAACCTACACAACTGGGCGATTTTGGGCAAGGGCAAATGTTGCTGTGCATATTCCAGCACCATGGTTCGCATATGGATATGTACATATGATTGTTAAATCTCTAGCATTCTGGTTCAGAACATGTCCATCTTTTTGGGGAAAATTGACAGAAAGCTCCATATCTAGATGGTCAAAATAGATCAACTCCTTGTTTTTCCTCTTTTGATGTTCGAATAACATCCGGTTGGTGGTTTGGAACCTGAATTTTCTGACTTTCCATATATTAGGAATAACAATCCCAACTGACTTTCATATTTTTCAGAGGGGTAGGTATACCACCAACCAGTAATCCATTGCAAGAAGTCGTGTGCTGTGTTTTTTACTCAGCTGGGATGGCAAGCGAAATCGCCATGTTACCATTCCTGGCTTAGACATGCTTAGAGTGTCGCCATTGTGACGTGAAACGGAAGAAGTGTAGCCACGGCCATTTTTCCCGATGAATGAAACATGTGTGAAAAGAGGCGTTGGGATTTGCGATTAGAAACGCAACTTTGGTGATGTTGAAAGAAATCTTCTCATTTCGATGTGATGCTGCTGATTATGCTGATGATGCTGCTGATGATGCTGCTGATGATGGATGATGATGATGATGATGATGATGATGGTGATGGTGATGGTGATGGTGATGATGGTGATGATGATGATGATGATGATGATGATGATGATGACGATGACGATGACGAATGATGATGAATGATGAAAGATACTCTTCAGCTTTGGTGATGTTTTGCCAGCACAGAAGATCAGCTTCGGTGATTTTTCAGAAGTTCTCATCCGTCCATTCGTTCCCCATTCGTGCGGCGAAACTCGTCCTGCCAGGATGGTCAGACTGCCATCACTTACACTTACACCGACGAGGTTTCCTGCCTGGGGGGTTGGTTTCCTGCGTGGGCAGGTCAACCAGCTGGAGAATCATCAGGTAATGGCATAATGTCAACCCTGGATTAATAAACCCCAAACGGCTTTAGGCTGTTTAATTGGGGGGGTACCATTTAAGTATTGGATGAAATGACTATTGGAGGAGTACCCCCCTAATTTTCATAAACCATGGTTGGATTTAATCCGGGGTTGACATTAACGGTCATTAAATTCAAGAATAGTAGGAAAAATGACTGAATATAAGAATAAATCATAGTAGTGGTCATTCTGATGATGACTGTGATATACTGTGATATGAGAATCATATATCTTGCTGAATTTACTGATTTTGCAGAATATTCAGCTGGATATTTTGATGACCAAGATAATGATTATAATTAGGGTGATGCTGATTGGTCATCGTTGGTACGCAAAGTGTTTGTCTCCGTATGTGTATCCTGGTATTCAATCTACATCTGGCTGGGTAAATTATAACAACCTCACTGATCTCCCTCACTGAGAATGATGGTTAGTGTTAGTAGGGGTAACTATCCCCAAATGACCTTATTTCAGGTGAGTGAATTATTATAATTTACCCGGATCTGTTGTTGGTCCTTGGTGCTTTGAAACATCTGCAGTCTCTTCGCATTTTGCCAACTGAAAGAAAGATGTTCCAATTGATCAGTTTCTTTTGTACAATGACCATCAATTTCTGGGGTGGCCATAGCCATCCATAGCCATCCATAGCCCCATTTTCAGACACCCTGCATTGAGTCGAAAATTTCTGCATAGGCATAGCTAGCTCTGTAAAGATACCCTCTGGTAATTTAACGGTTTGCTATTGAAAATGACCATTGTTAAATAGTGGGATTTTCCCATTAAACATCGTGGATTTTCCATAGTTTATAGTGGATTTTCCATAGAAATAGTGGAATTTCCCATGAAAAATGGTGGATTTTCCAGTTCGCTATTTTGACATCACCAGGCCGGGTCGAGAAAAATCATGGTGGGCTTTTCCGATCATTTTCCCAGCGAGAGGCGCCGATGCTTGCGACGCATGCCTTCTACCCCATCATTCAGGTGGCGTAACGGCCTGCGGTGTTGATGTCATGTATGATATTTAGGAATATTAATAGAGAATATTAGTGTTTAAAAGGATTTTTTTACTACTATCTCTGTGTGTGTGTATTATACATATATATATATATATGGTTCATATACATATAAGATTTATTGATGTAATGTATATGTATATAAATATAAACATGATCGCTGATTTGAAGCATAAACATGGGATGATGATCCCCAATTGACTGGTGAATTCATGTGGTAAAGCCAATAGGAAGGAATAGCGAATTGTACCATTTGGGTTTCGTTATTGAAATTACCCTCTGGTGAACTAACATAGCTATTGAAAATGGCCATTTATAGTGAGTTTTCCCATTAAAAATGGTGATTTTCCATTGCTATGTTAGTTCACCAGAGGGTATTGGGTTTACGCCTTTATGACAACTCTGCCAGATTGATGGATAAGAGAGAGCCCTGGTTGAATGCTAACGAATGGAAAGACATGGTCTATACAACTATACAGCCCTTGTCGAATCATGAAAATTAGTAAAAAAGTAACTAGGCAGTTGGTACGTCACTCGTAAGCACAAGGATATTAGCTGTACCAAAATCCAGAAATAGACCCGCATCCAGTCACGCCAGTTAGGCACAATCCCAGCAACTGCAACCCCCCCAGCTATGGGTGCTTAGAAGAACACTGTGGAAATCGTTGGTGTCCCATTGGCCCAGCATTGTAGGTGTCCCATTCGAGCCCTTGGGTTTAGGAGACCGATGTTGCATTCAAATCCAATGAAATTCAATCATCCATGTCTTTCAATGGATATCACTGGGGATTCAAACCATTCAACATATGGGACGCTTCCAGAAAGACATTGGGATCTCCATTCACCGTCTTTTTGCGCCCATCCATTTTTGGCCAATCTCAGGAAGGCACACTGCCACCTAATTTTGACGTCCTTACCAATATATCTTTACATCACGTTACATGCCGGGTGAACATCCCTATTGAATCACACTTTTCATATACTTGGAATCATTTTAATTGATTTGATTTGTATGTACATGTCTGTGTTATGTAAATTCTCCATGAATATCCATTGTCCGTACCCATGTATATTTGCATCATTTACCCATATACCACTCTATAGTACTATTACTTTTGATACTCTCTATATATATATAGAATCTACATCATTTTACATTCCATATGATAAATTCCTCGTTGATCCTCGTTGATATTTCTGAATTATTGTTATTTTTTCCATTCAGATTCCAGATTCCATCCAGATTCCCTATGGATTTCCTATGGCTTTTTGTGACTCAGGCCTTTTGCTCTCAAGCCAAGATCCCTGTGCAGATCCGTGATATCTCTGTGGCTGGTCGACTGATCTCGCTCCTTGGAGATCACCAAAAGCCCGGTGTCGAGGATCCCCAGAAGAGTTGGTTTCATGGAAATCCCAATCTGAAATGGATGATGACTAGGGCTACTTTCATTTTAGGAAACCTCCTAATATCCACCATTTACAATTAAGAATATATGATTTTCCATGGATTTTCACAGCTATAAACCTCATGAAACCTCCATTCAGGTGGGGGATTTTCACTTGCCATATTTGATTACCCCTCCGGGTACACATGGTTAAGCCGACAAAATCATACAAAATCCACAAAGAGTGCCGCTGACAAATCCGCAATCAGGGACTCATTTCCTGTGATTTTTTGCTAATGTAATGCTAATGTACCTTTTCAATCCTTTTCAATCTTTGAATAGGTACATATGATACATATGTGTTACTTAAGATACAATTGTTGAAGCCCTTGAAGTATGAATCTCATCTATATCTATGTACTTATATAAATCAAAGGACGTGTCATCCCGTTCCAAACCAAAGCCTGGTGAGATCTGTCGAATCTATGTATTTTGGAGCAACATAAAGGGGGGTATGAAATATACCACTATTTGGGGCTTTCCTTAAATGGGGGTACCCCAAAATAGCTGGTTTATTTCATGGAAAATGCCAATCTAAAATGGATGATGACGTTTTTTTTTCCCATGACTTCGGAAACCGCCATTTAAAGCATCATAAAATCCATGTAATTGTGGATTAAGGCTCATGGAAACACTAACCTGTTGCCATTGAGGGTTTTTTTCCTGCGGGGGCAGGGATTGTCAATCGAAGTCGGAAAGGATGGTTTCTACTCCCAACTACCCGGCCTGGTAAACGTTTACAGAAAACGATGGAAAATCACCATGCTATTAATGGGTAAACCATCCAGCTACTGGGGTACCACCATTTTAGGAAACCTCAATGTAGGAAAAAGTCAGAAGCAGATGTGCCAAATCACTGCTTGCCCTCTGGTAAACTAACATAATTATGGAAAATCACCATTTTTAATGGGTAAATCAACTATTTCGACTGGGCTATTTTCAATAGCTTTTTGTTTGTTTACCAGAGGCTATATCATCATATATCCTAATAAATCCCATTAAATCCCATTAAATCCCATTAAATCCCATTAAATCCCATTAAATCCCATTAAATTCCATTAAATCCCATTAAATCCTAATAATTCCCAATTACACTTCCATGAACTCCCAAGAAAAATCACCTAAAACCACTTTGGCAATTTGGTCGGCTGGGTCGACAGATTTGGCTACGATGTGGAGCCAAAAAAGAGATCATGTCTACCGCTAGATCAAAGCAATATGGGTGTGTCTGAAAATAGTGTAGCCCATTTTCCCAATGGTTTTGCTGATCAGATTTCCCTATTAAATGGCTATAATTGGGAATACACCCTATTTGGGTAAATAAGTAAATATGAGCCATTCAATCTGGGTAAATTATAACGACCTCACTGATCCCCAGAACCCTGGAATCATGGTTAGATTGTGGGGAATCATCCCTAAATGGCCGCAAGATTCAGGTTAGTGAAATATTATAATTTACCCAGATATGTTCATTTTTTTCCTTTCCAAGCCAGAACAAAATATGAGTTGCCCAAATAGTTTGTCAAAACTCATATCATATTTTGGGCAACTATTTGGGCAACTCATATTCCAAGCCACTATTTGGGTTACTTAAATAGTTTACCAAGCCAGATAACGCTATCTCTTCCAAAGTCAAAACTAAGTTTTCAGGGTTTCATGTTGGTGTCACTGGCCCCAACTGTTTCCTGACATCGCCGGCGATCCGGTCCTCTCCTCTCGCCTTGGTTTTCCGACGAGGCACTTTCCGGACTACCTCAGCCCTGAGCAGAAGAAGGAGTCTCTCACACCAGACCTTTGGATGCATCGCACAGGGTGTTTGTTGTAATGATTTCGTGGGAAAATATGGGATGTGTATGGTGATGATTTGATGGTGATTTCACCAAGAAAAATAGGGATTTGATGGGATGTAATCTAGGTCAATCTTACCAGGGGATACAAACTAATCCTAACTAGTCTTTTTGTATTAATGGGAATATATGGGAATATCTATACGTTCACCAGCAAAGAATTTGTCATTTTTTGCAGGGTATCTAAGATTGGCAATGTTGAGGGTACCTCAAGTTTACCCCATTGTTTGCTAAGTGTCCAATGAAGTCAGCCAACAAAAGGCGTTAGCTGAGTTGATTTCACTCCACGATCATGTCTGATTAAACTTAGGTTTAAACATCTTCAAATTCTTTTTGAGTGGAGATATACTGTAAACCTGATGCTAGTTGGGTTCTTGAAATTGCAACTGGCACGAGGTAGCGTAACTTTCGTTTGCTTGGGATATGTGTCAAAGTCAAGGACGCTCTTACATTTTTGCATTCGCCATTAGATGCCATCAGCTTTCTGTTGTAGAAGAGCATGTTCTTTTTTGGGGGGAGCAGGGCACAAACATCTACGAACCGTTTTTTTTTCATTGCTAGGTGTAAACAAAAAAAAACTGCATAGAAACCTCCACTTTTCATCAAGAAAAGCCAGCCAGTTGTTGGCTGTTGGCCTCATTGCGCCGTCATAACCTCATCTTCGGGTGGTTGAAGGTTACTGGTTGGGGGTTTGGAACCATGGAATTTTATGACTTTCCAGAAACAGTTGGGAATGTCATCATCCCAACTGACGAACTCACTCCATCATTTTTCAGAGGGGTAGGTATACCACCAACCAGAATTTTCCATATATTGGGAATGTCATCATCCCAACTGACGAAGCCATATTTTTCAGAGGGGTAGGTATACCACCAACCAGGTTAGGTTGGCTTCTTACAACTCTAAATAAAGCAGGGATTGACATGCTTTTTGGGCGGTGTTTGTTTGTCACCGTGTCAGAAGCAGCTTGAGGAAAAAGTCCTGGCACATTCTTGGGATATGTAAGGATGAGAACTGGTGGGGTTTTTTCTCAGCCGTGGGATTATTGCGAAATCCTGTAGCAGTTGATAGGTGGTAAACAGATATATATATATATATACATAAGTTATATATATATATAATTATATATATATATATATCCCATGATTTGGGGTGGGTTTCAAGCATCCAACCATGGTGATTTTGGGATTTCGCAACCATTCACAGTCACCTCCGCCAGCTGGGTAACCTGGCCTCAGAGTCCGGAAAGCGCCCAGGAAACTCCTACCATTGAAGTTGACCAATTGGCAGCCCTGGGTGAAATGGCCAAGGGTGGCAAGGCCCTGGGTGTTGGTGATGGGTAACGCTATGAATGGGTAACGTGTTGGTAATCCCATCCCCCTAATATTGAACATCCCCTAAATGGTCCCACTTGTGTGGAAATCCCCCTACTAAACTATAGTTTCTTGGGGGGGTGTTTAATATTAGGGGGAAGGGATTATTTCTTGTATCAAACCATTCACTTTGAACAAAGTTTCACCCGGAAGATGTAAGTGAGTCAAGCCGAATCTTCCCATAGAATCATTTGAGCATGGCATCCTCCTGATACTGTTTTTTTTGTCAGTGAAGTCAAGCATGGCTTGCTGGACAATCCCCCATAGTTCCATAGTTTTTACCCTCTGGTAAATTAACATAACTATGGAAAATCACCATCTTTAATGGGTAAATCAACTATTTCAATGGTCCATTTTCAACAGCTATGTTCAATTACCGGAGGGTAACATATTTAAATGCCCATGAAAACTTCGTGGACTTCCCAACTTGCCATGTTTTTTCTGACACCGGGTAAAGGTGTCATCCATTCATGATCTGATATCGGGATATCTGGGAAATTCATGCAAATCCACATCATTCGATTGGCAGGGCTTCAAAGAATCACATCCATTCCGATCCATACTCTCCGGTAATTTCATATGGTCTACAGGATGGGGCCCCCGTTTTCGAAAGCGTGAACCGTTGGTTAAAAAAAGTGGCTGAAAAAACGATGGCTTATGGTAGATATAACGAACTAGTTCATGGGGATTATTTCATGGTTTATAAACCAACGTTCACATCACTGGGGGGCCCCATATGGTCTAGATGGCCGATTGAGTTTGATGATTCATCCTGCTAAGGAAGCAACCGATTACTAAATGGGTATTGCCATTTCGGCTACCCATATTTCCAAAGCCATAGCAACTTGCATACAAGATGGGTCTCCCTATTTTTGTTTGTTGCTTTATGACCCCCGTTTAATACTATGGTTATTTCATTGCCATAAATCCTTGTGAATTGGTAAAATGGGAGTTATTTTGCCTTCTCGTGCCGTTGGAGTCCCACCCTGCAACCATGTATACATATGGAGTAGGTTTCCTAAAATGAAGATAATTACCCCAACAATGGATTGTTTTTAAGGGAACATCCTGTTAACATGGATGATTTGGGGGTACCCCTATGACTTAGGAAACCGCCATATATCAAAGTCTTAGGTGATCCGCTCCATTCTGTCCAGGCCAATATCATCAAGCTGCCGAATGTGAGTGCTTCCCTTCCTCAGTTGAAGGCTAGATGATGGATCTCTGGAGTGGCTATGTAGCTGTGGATAGTTTCAGCCGAAATTCTCATATGGATGTTTCCTAAAATAGTGGCACCCCCAAATCATCCATTTTTAATAGGATTTTCCATTGTAAACCATCCAGCTACTGGGGTACCACCATTTCAGGAAACCTTAATGTAGGAAAAAGTCAGGAGCAGATGTGCCAAATCACTGCTTCCCTCTGGTAAACTAACATAACTATGGAAAATCACCATTTTTAATGGGTAAATCCACTATTTCGACTGGGCCATTTTCAATAGCTTTTTGTTTGTTTACCAGAGGCTACTTCTGGAAGAAAAGTAGCAGCATCTGCATGGCGTGGATAGCCACTTTCATGTGTTGATCATCATGGTTCCCCTGTGAGAGAAGAGCTACGCGGGGTATTCACCGTCCTTTGGACAAAGCGTCATGTGGTGGGTTCCTGAGTCATAGGGGTACCACCAGTCATCATCCATCTCTTTTTCGGATTTTCCATGAAACAAATCATCCAGCTATTGGGGATTCCCCATTTTAGGAAACCCCCGTGTCTTCTCATTTGGCATCAGTGGCGTGAACTGATGGGTCCAGCCAGGAGTGCATCGCAGAGCTACAAGGAAAGGGTTACAAGGCGCCAAGCAACATGTCCAAGCAGCGTGTAACAGGTCTATATCAGTGCCTTCCATCAAAGAAAATATCACTTGGATTCAATTGGTATACTACATATTACATATCAGATATTCTTTACTATCTCAATGCATATCTATTTTTGTTTATTCCGATCAATGCCATGATCTTTGATATTGCAGTCCCACTAGGCCACTAGGCTCTCACTTGGCTGATGCGGGGCTGTTGGGGCCAACTTGAAGATTCCACGTTGAGTTTCAGTTCTCTCTTTGAGACATGTGGGCTCAGCCGGTGCGGCATGGAAGCCAGAAAATGCTGTTGTTTATGAAAAGCTCTCAATCATCTTTCAATCATCTCAATCATCTCAATCATCTCAATCATCTCAAAATCTATGAAAGGCTCTCATTTGTTCAATCTTCCATCTTTTTTTTGGATGTGAAACTCTTGTGCTTCATCCATTTATAACGGATAATCCATGATCCCGGCAAGTCCCATCAGCCCAAAAAAGCCTTAAACGCCTTGCCACTGGGCCACGCTATCAGATCCCGAACTATCCGGAAGATCCCAAAGATGATGCGGAGAAGGAGATCAAGGCCCGGGGTTGATCTCGACTCCCTGAGAGGTTAGGAACCGCCATCCAAAATATACGTAGAAATTAGATGAAATTAGCAGGATCTAAAAACCCAATTTCTGTTGCTCTTGATGCGTAATTATAATCTCTTGTAATCAGTTAATCCCAATTTTTGGTTGTTAAATCATGATGAATCCTCATGTATTGTTGTTAAATCCTTGATCTTCAGCCCCATTATTTACAAAAACTATACAAATCCTGTAAATACATGTTTACATTGTAAAAATACTAGTTCCTTTTAACCATTTTTTGTGGAAAAATCACTCCCGCATCAGGACCCCCCCGTTCAACGGTGCTTTGCCCCAGCCCTGCCTTCGTCGAAGTCGTCGAAGGCCCGCTACGCCAAAGTCCTGGGCAGTGCCGTGAACCCGGTGCTGCGCGAGGGCAATTCGGACCGCCGCGCGGCGGTGCCGGTGAAGGAGTCACCTGGCAGCCTGGGGTTGTTCCGGCCGTATATCAATATCCACTGGGTCAATCGACTAGATTGTCAAACTATGGAAAATCACCATTTTTTATGGGTAAACAACTATTTCTATGATGATGAGTGAACTAGGTCAATCTTAGATGGGTACTTTAATCCTAACTAGTCTTTTGGTATCAATGGGATTATCTACGTTCACCAGCAAAGAATTTGTCATTTTTTGTAAGGTATCTAAGATTGGCAATGGTGGGTTCATTCACCACAGATTCACCACTAGTGGGATGTTTTTTTGTCTAATGGTATATATTGGTGATGATGATGATGATGATGATGATGATGATGATGATCATGATCATGATGATGATGATGATGATGATGATGATGATGATGATGATGATGATGTGATTGATGGTTAAGCCAGTAATCACAATGGGAAGGTGATATATGGTTTATTATTGGGTTTACGACATTAATGATTGTGGGATTGTTTAGTGGGATGATTAGTGGTAACATAATTTATGATTATTGATGGCAGACTTTAGTTGTAAATGATGGTGATGATTGTGCTTATAGTGATCAATCATTATACCACAAAATCATCAGTGTTTAAATTTAGTCCGATGATCAGTGGTAAAATGATGATTAATGCTACGATGGCGATGGTGATGATGATCGTTGGCGCAAAAAAGGGATACTGTAATTAGTCAATGGGAATTTCAGGATCCTAAAATGGAGGTACTGTACCATATAAGGGCATATTTTCTAGGGATATTCCCTTACATAGGCCTGAAAAATAGGCCTTATATATGGTAGGTACCTCCAATCAATCGGTTCCTGAAATGGCCATTGAATTAGTGGTATAACATGGGTTTGTCTCGTCGGTGATGATTGTCTTTTCCAGTGGGAAACGAATCTTCGCTGCAGCCCGGAGTCCGGCCAGCGTTCCGCGCAAGGCGTTGCGTCTGACCTCAGGTGGCTAAGATAAAGTTGATGTTATTACCCCAATCAACATACCCTCTGGTAAACATACAAAAAACTATGAAAAGATCCACCATGTTTAATGGGAAAATCCACTATAAATGGAAAATCCACCATGATTTTTTCCCCAATCAACATATGGGTTTGTCTGAAAATAGGGTATATTCCCAATGAAATAGCCATTTAATAGGGAAATCTGATCAGCAAAACCATTGGGTTTAGGGCTACACTATTTTCAGACACACCCATATTGTTCATAGGGGGTGGCAAATTTGGAAAATCCATGTTTTTTTCTTTTTTTTGGGGGGGGGACCTTGAGCAGATCCAAGTTATGGAATAGTTTTTGAGTAATTTTGGAATACACTCTTCCAAAAAAATGGAACAAGATGAAATAGCAAACAATAATTCTGATAATTCTTCCAAGAAAACGATTCTGATTTTGGAATGATTTGGAGATCTTAGGGATTTTCAGCAGTCTTTTATGGTAAACACCTGATACCTGAGGGTTTTTTTGCTGATTTTTTGAGTTTTTCTGTCTATTTAGAATTACGAGGGAATTTAACGAACAAGAATGGGGAGCGAACAAGATTGGGCAACACCCTGAAATCATTCGATGGGGTTCAACATCGTGCTCAAACACAGAGGAGCCTGGTTGAGCACGATTGAATTGTGCAGTAGAAAAAACAACAATCCATACCCACGCCCACAAACACGCATGTATTATCAGTTGTAGATTTACCCTTTGGATCCCTTTGGTTATTTCACGGTTTGCGAACTGGAAAATCACCAATTTTAAGAACGGTAAATCATGTTTTTATCATCGATTTCTATGGGCCATCTATACCACTTCGCAACCTGTGTGTCTCCAAGAACTGGCCCCATTGATGGAGCAGTTTTGATTTGGGTTTGAATATGACCCCATTTGTAGGAGATGCATCAGTACTTGGTGGCTCATCCCACGGCTCGTAAGTGGGTTATAACCCCAGTGATTTACATGGGATAAGTAGGGTTAATCCACTTATAACTGGGGTTATAACCCACTTACTAAGTGGGATGAGCCACCAAGTATGGATCATTAAAAATTCTGAACCATGACATGAGTCAATGAGCCTTGATTTTTTTCTCCATGAAAAACCAATGAGGTATGCCTTCAAGTACCCACACTCCATGGGCAAGTGGCTTCCAGATGCTTGCTATGACCTTGTTGGGAGCATCGGCCGTTCGATATGTGTTGCTCTCAATGACTGACATACTGTGGATGGGCCGTTGCGAAATCCGATAAACCACCAATTTTGGATGGTTGAAACCCTATAAGCAATGGGATGTTTACCACTTATCAACTGGTGATTGGGATTTCGCAACCATCCACAGTATCACTATGATGATCAGTGGAACACTCATATTTTTGACTGCAAAGTGCTGATTGGTGGTTTGGAACATTTTTGTCATTTTTCCAATCAGTTGGGAATGTCATCATCCCAACTGACTTTCACTCCATCATTTTTCAAAAGGGTTGAAACGACCAACCAGATATATATATAAAACATAATTATGGAAAATCACCATTTTAATGGGTAAATCAACTATTTCGACTGGGCCATTGGGTGTGTGGTGGTGTATGATATACAGTCCTGTCCTTGCAGGTGGTGGGCCAGGTGGGCCAGGTGTTATGAAAGTGGATCGGTTGCTCATGGAGATCATTTCTGTAACATGTGGCCCAGGAACCATGGTTTAGATACAGTCCCTAGTCCAAGTAAAACGAAAAACATGTGAAACAGATTCTGGTTGGTGGTTTGGAACATGTTTTTTATTTTCCATTTCAGATATGGGATGTCATCCTTCCCAACTGACGAACTCATATTTTTCAAGATGGTTTTTGTCACACCAACCAGGATTGGTTCCTCGGAATGCCCTGATCAAAAAAAAAATGGCCTCACAGTGACTGTGAAGGAATGATTGCTATCATTCTTCTTACTGGTGCTAAACGTATTGAATGGGGGAATGCTCTATAGTAACTATCAATAATCATCCCAGCAACTCCCAGCAGCCCATCCATTCCCTACGTAAAACGCACCAGTAAGTCTTGGGTGGTTCCAATTTCAACTCGCTCAGCTACAGCCATGCTGAAGTGTGACCATCTCTGCGAATGTCATTCCATTTTGGTGATGCCGGAAAAAAAAGCCACCAAGATAACATACCATCTGGATCCATCTGGTTATTTAACATAGCCATGGAAAATCCCTTATAAATGGAGGTATTAATGGGAAAATCATCTATAAATGGGCCATCTATACCATGGCTAGATTAAATAACCAGAGGGTAAGATAAGACTAGATTTTCCTCCACCATTGAGTGACTCTTTCTCGCCATTTTTTTTTTGAGACACCGACAGCATCTAAACATGAGACCCAGCTGCTGATGAGACGAGGACTCCAAGACTCACGTGAGTTCCATGGAGGAGGGCGATTTCTTTTCCCACGAGAAATCTGTGGCTTCGGCGTCGAAGATTCCGGCAAAAATGGGAGTTGTGAGGTTTGGAAGTGGTAGTTATATTTATTGCCATTATATATTATATAACTATAATTGGTTATATAGTTAGTTTATAGTTATAGTTGGTCTACATAACTCTAGCCATTATGACTGATAGTTGGTTTGGAAAGAAATTATACAACTATAGGCATATTTCTACACACCTAATCGACCCAAGTGCGTTTTCCCTAGTTCAACGTGTGTCAACTGAGCGGATTCGAATGGGGCGGGGGGGTTTTATCTCCTGGATCCAGCATTTATTACGAATGGATTCTACACAAAATCCCATGCATAATGTGGTAAACCAAGGGCGTAAGAAATGATTGGCTTGACCTGGTGGGTAAAACAATGTCATAAACCACCCATTTGGGAATGGCTTATACCATCTATTTATGGTGAAATTGGGGATGGTTGATGATTGGCTTGACCTGGTTTACCTCATTCAGTCAGATCCACCATCAGGAAATCGCGCCAAAAAACGGGGACATGCTTTGCAGTACCTGGTGTTAGGGCAAAGTGACTTTGCAATGGGGAGAGCACACAGTGTTTTTCCAACTCTCTACATTGATGATTTTTGACTGGTTGGTGGTTTGGAACATGAATTTCCATTCAGTTGGGAATTTCATAACCCCAACTGACGAACTCCATCATTTTTCAGAGGGGTAGGGCTCAACCACCAACCTGTTGATGGTTGTTTTTTTGTTTCATGATATCTCATGATCCACGATACTTGGAGCATGTTTGCATACCCGGCCTGGTAAACATACAAAAAACTATGGAAAATCACGATGCTATAAATGGGTAAATCCACTATTTCGACTGGGCCATTTTCAATAGTTATGTTAGTTTACCAGAGGGTAAATTTGCTCATGAGAGAATCAGTGACTTTTTTTAGCACTATATGAATGGGGTTATGAGTGACTCTTAATCCAGCAAAGAGGTTGGGCATCCGGGTCCGCCATTGTTTTGACACATGTCATATTGCCAGATATTGTGATATATCTGGGTAAATTATAACGACCTCACTGATCTCCCTCACTGGAAATCATGCTTAGATTGTGGGGAATCATCCCCAAATGGCCGCAAGATTCAGGTTAATGAAATATTATAATTTACCCAGATATATGTGAGTAGATCATATGGATACTTAAAAGAAAAAACATCAGGTGGATGAACAATAGGTGTATCAAGTATCTAATCCAGGTATATCCATGTGTTTTGATGGACACGAGCATTTATCCTTTATTCATGGGATTGGTTTAAGGGAACATTTAGGTGACACCTCTATATTTGATTTGGAAACACCATGGTTTCCTGTAGATTTGTTTTCCTTCAACCAATCGATTTCATATAAGTAGCACTAAATAACCAATGACATGTAATCACCATGATTTTAAAGCACAATTGATTATCATGTTGATTCATGGTGTAAACTTATGATACTGTGGATGGTTGCGAAATCCCAATCACCAGTTGATAGTTGGTTTATCCCATTATTTTGTTTGGGTTTCAACCATCCTTTTGGTGGTGCAGGATTTCTTCCATCCACGGTATGATCAATGGCTATTTCAGGAACCTAAATTGGAGGTACCTACCATATATAAGGCCTATTTTTGTGGCCTATGTAAGGGAATATCTTCACAATTCATATGCCCAAACATATGGTACTAACGTACCATCTGTTGGATCCTGGAGATCTCCCATTGATCTCCCAATTCATGTTCCAAACCATCAACCAATCAAAAATCATCAATGTAGAGATATATACACTTTCAAGCAATATAGATATAGTGATGGTAATATCATTATACTGTGTAAATTATAATAATTCACTAACCTGAATCTTGCGGCCATTTGGGGATGATTCCCCACAATCTAACCATGATTCCAGTGAGGTCGCAGTGAGGTCGTTAGAATTTATCCAGATTATACCATATATACCACCACTATATCTATATTAATGGTATATCCATATAATATCCACATATTAATGGTATATTAATAATATCATTAATATCATAATATCCTCAGCAGGCCTTGTGACGCTGAGGTGGTCATCTCCGAGAAGTGCGAGGCGCGCATCGAGATGCTCTCGGAGGAGTCGATGGAATCCCCACGGGGGCCACGACGGGCCCGATGGGCGAAAACGGGCTGTGAAAAGACCTGAAAAAACATGGAGAAAGTGCGAATGTTCATGAGTTTGTCATAGTTTGTCTATATGTTTCTGGGTTGAAGTTGTTGATATCACGAATAAAACTCAGTTTTTCGAGTGTTTGCTCTGATGTGTACTTGGATGTGATGGGTGTACCACCAGGAACATTTGGGGGAATTCAGGTTGGTGACATCGAATTTCTGAGCCCAAGACTGCTGGGATGGGAGACTCAGGAATCAGAATTTGGATCTATCTGACAATGCAGCTGAAAAAGTGGTGTACCATGGTGTGTCCCCTCGTCGCCGTAGTTTCAATAAGGAAACTGATGTTTAAGCACTACTTTCAGACAAACTCATCCAGCAACGTGCAGTTCCTACCCGGCAAACCGATTTGACTATCAGAACATGATGACATTTTTTCGGTGCCCAGTTTGACCCGTGGTGATTACAAACATATTTTTCAGGGTGCCACCAATGATCATCTAATGTGGTTAAAAGAATAGTAAGCCATCCCCAAGTCATCAGCATTTTAATGGGTGGTATGTTTATCATCAAAAATGGGATGGTTTATATATGGCCTTGTTTTACCACCACCAGACTTGTCTAAAAATCGGGGCGTCGGGGCCATCCCCGCAGGATGGCAAGGTCACGGTTTTGAAAGATAAGCTCACCCTTCAGAAGGATGAGGCTAGGCTTAGCCGGTGAAGACTTCGTGACAAATTTTCACCATGGGAAGTGTCATCAGTGACTGTCAGTGGTCGAAACTCTGAAACTGTGAAGATGCACCTCCCTGGATTGGTTTACAAGGGAAAATTTACAGGAAAACCCAATATTTCATGGGGAAAACCATGGTAAGACCGGCTTCGATTTTCCCTTCAATCCAGTGAGAACCAGCATGAACCAGCTTCGCGACAAATTCGACCCATACCCATTTGTCGGTTGCCTCGGCGTAGAACGTTGTGATTAGGAATAGGCCTCCAAACATGTTCTGAATCAGCAAAGCAAAGGATTGCAAGTTGCTTTTATGACATTTTATGATATTTTATGGTTAATTTTAGGGGAATCATCCCAAAATGGCCCAACATTTCAGGTTAGTGAATTATTATATAAATACTCCCAGATTTTATGACATGTTTATATCAACTATAGTAACGATTATCTCATAGATGCGGAGACTGACATTCTCATTGGCCAACGGCATCTGCCAAGATTTCCAGGGAGATTTCCGTGTGAAATCAGCACTGCCCACCATTTCTGTGGCTGATGTGCAGTTCCAGTGAGAATAGTGGACATGGCCCAGTCGAAATAGTGGATTTACCCATTGAAAATGGTGATTTTCCATAGTTTTTGTGTATGTTTACCAGAGGGTAACTCCAATAATCTGGGTAAATCATAAGGACCCCACTGATCTCCCCCACTAGAATCATGGTTAATTGGTGTTAATTTATGTTGGGGAATCATCCCAAAATGACCCAACATGAATCAGCTTAGTGGATGGATTCTAATTTGCCCAGATAAGTGGAAATTTGACCAAAGTTAGAGAGGTTGTATCCCAACTTCTGGAGGTGAAGTCACCATAGTTATCTCAGTGTTCCATGAAAATGTCACCCACCAGCGCCGCTCTTCTCGCACGCTATGACAAGGAAGATGTCTTTGGTTGATGAAAATAGAGGGATAACTCATGATAACCATTGATCGTCGATATATATATATATATTATATTATATCATATATATACTATATATATAATACTATATATATACCATCTGGTTATGACTAACATAGCCATGGAAAGATCCACCATGCTATTAAGAAGGTAAACCATCTATTTCGATTAGGGCCATCTATACCATGGCTATGTTAGTCATAACCAGAGGGTATATATATATATATACTGGTTGGTGGTTTGGAACATTTTTTATTTTTCCATCTATTTGGACTAATCATCCCAACTGACTAATATTTTTCAGAGGGGTTTAAACCACCAACCGGTATATATATATATACATACACAACCATTGGGAAACATTGTTCACAACCAATTTGAGGTGATGCTGAGTCGTGTCTTCCAAACTGACCACGGCATTTCTTTCCAGTGTTTTTTTTTTTTTTAGGACGTTATTTTCTGAAAACGGGGCTTTATACACAGGACTTATATTCTGTTTATTATGTGATATATTCTGTTTACACTAAGATTTCTATGATGGGGCCCACAGTGAACATACTCCAGTGATCATACTCCATGTTGAGAAACACCGTACCCTCTGGTAAACATACAAAAAACTATGGAAAATCACCATGTTTAATGGGAAGATTCACTATTTCTATGGCCATTGTCTATGGCAAACTGTTGACATAACCAGAGGGTATATCCATCATATATCCTAATAAATCCCATTAAATCCCATTAAATCACCATTAAAATCCCATTTTCTATAGCTATTTTGTTAGTCATAACCAGGCCGGGTATTTATTTAACTGGCTCCGCGGCGATAAAACTGCTCCCCGGAGGTCTTGGACGCGTCCTTCATCAACTGCAAAATGTTGCGTCGCTTCTTTGAAGAGCAGATCGCCGACGCTAAGGATCCCATGGATCCCATGGGACTCGACGAAAGATGGTCGGAGGGTGGAGAGGGGTCGAGATTTTGAGGCAACTTCTATAGTTGAATCCCAGACTCACAAAGTGATAACACACATATGTATATATATATACATATATATATACATGATATATTCATAGTATATCATATATAGTGCTGTATACTTTATATTATATTGCAAAAGGCAAAAAAAATAGGGCCAGCTTTTTTTTTCTAAAGCAGCTTACGTGCTTGCCGAGCCAGGAGCGAGGCGTGATGTTCTCCTTGCATTTGAAAGCAACGATGATGAAGGTCTCAGATCCCATTATGTTCGGGCACTGCGTGAAGGCCTATTTCAAGGCGCCAGAAATACCCTCTGGTTATGTCAACAGTTTGCTATTGAACATGGCCATTTATAGTTGATTTACCATGATTTACCCATTAAACATAGTGATTTTCCACAGTTATGTTAGTTTTACCATGTTTTACCCTCCAGAAGTTGAGATTAGATTAGCCATATAGTGTGGTAAACCAAATAATAAACCATCCTATTAACCAACCATATACCAAGTTATGGAATACATTGATGTACCCTGCTGGTTATGACTAAGATAGCCATGGTATGGATGGCCCATTGAAATAGATGATTTTCCCAGCGAACGAAACCTCCATTTATGGTTGGGATCTTCCATGGCTATGTTAGTCATAACCAGATGGTAAGTTGCGTAAATTGTGTGGAACATGTCATGTTGACTCGGAGGGTCGAATCGTGTTGAATATTGAAGAAACCCCGACGAGAAAAATTATCCGTGAATGTAGACAGCTTCCAATCCGAATTCATATTTGAAGTGCTGTTTTATCATAGATTCTATAGATAGAGTTTGATCCTGAGCTGGAGAAAATCAATGCCACAGCTTTTTATTATTTTTTATTCAACGCTGACAGGATGTCTTCGCCAAGTATGCCGAGACGTTCGAAAAAATTGGTGTTAACGCCAACAACGGCCTTGGCGACATGGCTAAAATCAACGAAGCCCAGATCCGGAGGGCCAATTTGGGATGGTCCCCAAGGTCCAGGATCCCTAGCAGACCCCAAATCCAACGCAAGTCGGTGTTTTCTCCCAGGCGGGATGGTTCGTTGTGGGTTTGTGTGATTAATTAATGATTATAAAATTATATACGTAATATTATATAAGCTATAAGCATATCTAAGCTATGCTTGGGTGCTGTAAATATCTGATTTTCAGTTAAAGACATGAATTCAAATTCCATCTACATCGGTTTGGGGTGCCTGTGGCCTTATCCATTTCCTCTTAAATCTGAGTTTGGAATTGATGCATCAAACACCACCTTTTTGGGCTGTGAAATCCCCCAGCATGGTTTGTCCCATGTGATGAAAATCTCCATAAATGCCAATGGTTTATCAATCTCCATCATATGCTTTGTCCCATTAACCCAAAGGCATGGCTCACATGAACCAAATGCCATCATGGCTGAGACAATGCTCCGTAAATCTCCATATTTTATTGGTGAAGCACTGAATTTTTGTGGGTTAATCCATGTTATATAACCCACAATGTTTGTTGAAATCAGTTTCGGATTAAAATCAGGATCATTTTCAGGATTCAAATCAGTTTTGGATTGAATGGTCATTTATTTGGATTAAAATCCAGTTTTTCTGAGGTTCAAATTTTAATTTTTGCTGGTGAATTCCCCCCAAAAAAAACCGGAGGAAATTGGACTTTCCGAGGTGACCTCTATAAGAAGATCGCCACACTGCCGGACGCGGAGCGTCAGGCCAAGTCGTGCGCATTGACCCTGAAAATAGTTGGGAACCCCTGGAAGATTCTTTGTGGTTTCACTAATCTTCTCAACTATTTTCAGGGTTTCCAATTTTCCATTGTAACATCGCGCGCGTCCGGTATTTGATGCGCACCGGTTCGCACCGGTTCGCACCGGTTCGCACGGATTCTTTTCGCGCATACAGACATACACACATGCTTGCCTGTCTTTGTGTTCTTTTTTCGTCGGTGGACGTGACAAGCTACTTGACCAGCGTTGGCCAGATCCGATGACCCCTGAATAAAGAGGGTACGACGACACCACCACAGGTATTCCTGAACAATAACAGTTACTTCAGAACAGTGATACCTCTCTAAAGAACCATAAAAAGAAACATTATATTATCAAGACAATTTCTCTCAACAATCTGGATGATATATTTACCACATATTTCCTAGTTTCCATTTTTCGATTCCAAGTCGATTTTCCCAAGGACTATACGTATATAGGCTCACAGCAAGTGGTTGGCCTCTGTCACTAGGCCACACAGCCAGACATTCACTTTCAGCAAGCAAAGTCGCCTTTCCTTTTCAGCAAGCAAAGTCGCCTTTCCTTTTCAGCAAGCAAATTCAACCATGCAATTTCTAAACGTCTAGACACACCTTTCCTAGTCAACGCTTATTCATTTTCAGTGTGTGAAAGCCATGTCCGTCAATGCTTTCAAAGTGGCAGAGCTTTGGAGGAAGGTGTTCCAGTCATCAATCACTGTGTTCCAGCTGAACATGCGACCTGGCATGTCAGAACAGCCTCTAGGTGACTGGCAGTGTACATTCCCCAATTTCCAGCGAACCACATCAGACTTGGGCAGAGGGTCGTTGCCAGCTGTTGGATTTTTCACTGCTTCACTGCTGGATTTGACGTACCGTACGCACTTGAGTGCTGTGTTCTGGTCACTGTTCTGTAAACGCTGCGTAAACGTAGTTGCAGAATGACACTCATTCTTTTGCTCCCTGAGGATCCAGCTGCAGACTCAGTGCCTGGTCAGGACCCATCGCTAGGCCCCGTTCTGTTCTGAGCATCATTTCTTGACCACACTCTTGCAAGAAGCTGTTGGCTGTGTTTGTGGGTTTCGCATGTCAGGTGCCGCAGAAAGAGCAGCTCCTGAGGATGTGCGCTTGCTTGCATCGTTTGCTTCTTTGCAACATTTGGGGCCCACGTCGGCTCGCCTTGCCAGGCGATCCCACGCTCCCAAGGCAGTTTGGTTGCCAGCCAGTTGATGCATGAGGCACAGGCACAGGTGGGAAAGACAAATATCGATCGATTGATGAAAACTTTGCAAGAAGCAGCAGAAAAGAAGATTGGTACCTGGTATATTGTACATTCAAGTACGTTCATCCGTGCCGCGTGTTGCTCAAGCCTGATCTTGCGCCAGAGTACAGGAATAATGTTGTGAAGATGATCGTTCAGGCACCGCGCCTTAGTTTCATGCTACCAGACAGCCATGTGATGGTCCCTGGTGGACGCGCTCATAGCTTGACATTCCGCAATAAGAGTCTTCCTATCCGCTCCCGTAGCCTCCCTTTGTTTATCCGACGCATCTCTTTCCTTTTCCCTCTCAATGCCGGTACCCTCCCTTTCGGCGCCTGCGCGTAACGCGAGCATGGATGCCATTCGCCAGCAGGGCACGGCCCAGCAGGCAGTACAGGGCACGGCCCAGCGTCCAGGGCACGGCCCAGCCCCTCATCACGACATTCCGCAATAAGAGTCTTCCTATCCGCTCCCGTAGCCTCCCTTTGTTTATCCGACGCATCTCTTTCCTTTTCCCTCTCAATGCCGGTACCCTCCCTTTCGGCGCCTGCGCGTAACGCGAGCATGGATGCCATTCGCCAGCAGGGCACGGCCCAGCAGGCAGTACAGGGCACGGCCCAGCGTCGGGGACAGGGCACGGCCCAGCCCCTCATCACGAACTCAGTTGAGTCAATAATGGTGCACTGCTCCTGGCTCAGAAAGTTTAGGTCCTGGAATCTATAGACATGGTGACATGGTAGTCCATGAGTCAAAGCATGTTTCAATATCCATGAGCAGATACGCTACCACATGACAATATGAACTACGGATTTGTACTTTGGCGCCGCTCCTTAGTTGAACATTCTCTCCAGCTATGGCGTGCGCAGTGTGCACCCTAGAGTTTGAGGAGGGTGAGATCCGGCTGGACTTAGAATGTGGACACATGATGCATCAGGATTGTTGCCGCAGGTTGTGCAAGCTACGAAATTGGGAGGCTAGTGTCACATGTCCGACCTGCCGGTGCATTTGTGCCCCTGCGGTTCATGTGGCTACGCAGAAAGAAGTGCCAGCAACTCAGCCCTCTCAAGCGGGTCCAATGCATCTTGAAGCTGAAAGATCCCCAGGAACACAAGACCTTCCAAATTCCCAGCTGTCCACTCCGCATGACGAACACATTGTGCAAGACGCGGACTTTGGTTTCAGCCTGCCGGATGCCACCGTTGCAGCTGCCTTGAAATCGGATAGGGACCCGGCTGAAGCTTTTTGCGACAAGGTGATGTCTGCGGAGACGATCCAGGAATTCGCCAAGGCAACCTTCCCACCGGATCTATTTGATGGCTTCAGCGATGAGGCGACCATTGAGAAGACCATGCACAATCTCCTGGACGCTATGGTGGCAGACAAGCGCACTCACCGCGAGCTGGCCATGCGCTATGATTTCTCCATCTCTGGTATGGCTCCACTCCCACACATTGAGGCCGCCAAAGCCTTGTGCTTAAAAAATGGGTTACACCCGGAAACCTTCCTCCTCCTCATCCACAGCAACTTGACGTGGCTCGAGCATCACACAAGCCGCTTGGGTTCTGACCCGCCTCCTCCTGGCTTGGACGTTTTGGCCACCATTCTTGAGCCTGAGCCTCAAGATGACCTTTCTGACATTCTAGACGAAAAGAGTGCCAGGAAGAAGGCCAGAAGAGCAAAACACACAAGCCAGCCGGAGCAGCAGCAAGCTGAGCAGGATTCTCATAGCTTCGAAGAAGCCGCAGCAGCGTTTGTCAAGTCCACCACTCACAACACGCTTGCGGAGTATCTTGCTGCAGCAGCCACGCATTTTGGGCGGCCTATGCTTGACAATGAGCAAAAGGTCGTGCGGGCCGCGGTTCTGGAACACATGGCAGAGCTGGAGCTGAAAAAACCCATGGATGCAGCCGCTCCACAGGTTCCGCTCGAACTCAACTTGAAGCCCTCGTGCCACACCATCGGCACAGATAAAGCAGTCATGGCTGCCGGTTCAGCCTCTGCCCGCAAATCCTTCATGAGTGAGTTGACCAATGCGCCTTGGCGATGCATGGGGGCCAGCTTTGATTTTTTTGACAATATGTTTCGGTCATGATGCTAGGGCAACCTTGCCAATCTTTTTTGCCAGTGTTTTGTTGTCCCTCTTTCCAGGATTTGGTGCTTCGGTCCAAATTCGCTCCCGACTGCATCAAGAAGAATGCCGTGTACATGGTGGAAGCGACCTTCAAAGGCGTCAGGGCATGTATCCTCAGCCACAAACGGGTGTCAGCGAGCACCGATGAAATCATCACAGCTTTGCCAACACCATGGGCTGATCCACAGCAATCAGCCAGCCACATGCTCAGCAGATCAAAGCTTTGTACATGGACCCAGGGCGAGCGAGATGATGTGATGACTGGAGTCGGCAGGATCCACTTGCGGCAGTACCGCTTCCAGCTCAAAATGCTTGGGCAATATGAGGCAGTGGAATGGTGCATGAAAATGACACCGCAAGCATTCTTCAAGCGCATCTCTTTCTCCATCATGCCTGATAGCAGCCCACAAGACGAAGATATCAATTGTAGTCTCTCCTTTGGATTGTGGCAGGCCACTCATGACTTCATGTTCCAAGGCCCTTATCATTGCCCTTCCTTTGTGTACTGCGATGGGGTCGCTCTTGGTCTTCTTCGAACAATCCTGAACGCCATCAAACTTTGGATAGAAAAGCGCAAGTCCGCGAAAAACAAGACTTGCAAATGGTTCCTGATGAAAATTCTGTTTGCCAAGAATGACATCCTCCGGTCTGCCTTGCCGACGATGCGCATGGTTCAAAGCCTTGCGAAACTCAACAAGCACGACTTGGCCGACTCCAAACGCGTGAAAATTTCTCCACATGAACTCATGTGCGGAGTCCGCTGTTGGCTCAGATCGCTCGAGCTCCACGCCGGCTACTACCGCTTTGTGCAAGGTGCAACATCAACGGCTGGCGCAGAGTATCCTGATCGCAATCGCAACCCTCTGGCGGAGGAATTTCAAAATGCACAACATCCGGAAGAGGACCGACCAGAAGCACCTAGCTCTTCGGACGCGTTGAAG